GTCCTGGACCACGGCAGGCTGTGAGCAGAAACCTCTCTCTGAGCAGAGCCAGCCAACTCTCAGGTTTGCTGTACCTGATGGATTGCTGAATGACAATAGATCAATGATGACAACAGATGAATGACACCCCCACTCACCAAGGCTCAACTCTTCGCACATTGACAAGATGAAAAGGCATCTGAAGTGAATGTTCCACTATCTTTGAGGGTAATTTTTCATAGGTACTTTGTACAGACTCTTTATGTATGTGTGCATTCAAGCATGCATATCAAATGTGGGAGAAATGCTTCTCTACTTGATTCTTAAGTACTTTGGATTTGTAAGTTAGGCCTGAAAGTAAATTATTGTTGTGATATAGTAAATCCTATATGAATTATTTGCCAAATTGTTTAAATTATGATGTAAATTAAGTGTTGTTAAATTTAAGTACTATCAAATTTAAATGCTGTTAAGTGCTATTGTGCCCTTAGAGTTTGAATTGATTGACTGTGGATTTTTTTTTGTTCTTTTTCCTTGGTGTGCCTTAAACATCTAGTAAATAGTAGAGTAAATCTTGCCAACAAACTTTGTTGTGCTGTCATTTTTATATTAAACCTGTTCTTACTGATGCCTTTGCTGGCATTTCTTTAAGCAATCTTAAAACACTCATTATACACATGCAAAGGAAGAATTTGAGTAGGAAAGAGGAACAGGTGTAATGTATTCATGGAGAAGAAATTCCCCTCAAATGAGAAGAAAACAGCAGGACAAAAAATGGAGACAAAGGAAAATCATTCAACTGTGAAACACTCTGGGGGTGGGACAGATGTCCCTAAGGCCTCCACTTTGCACTTGGAAGGAGTGAGGGGACCAACAAAAGTGCCTGGATACCAGAGGCTTCCTGTTGCCCCTGCAGCCATCATGCTGCCCAGCTGTTAAACAGCTTGTCCTGTTTACAGCCTTTTCCCCAGGCTTTTCCTCCACTCAAATATCTGTGAGTGGAGAACATGGGTGTAAAGCCAGCAAGCACTTCAGAACTTTTTGCTCAGAACAGGGGTCTGAACAAGATCTCTCGTCATATATTGGTTCCTTACTCAGCATCACAGTGTGCTTTGTGTGAGCCCTTCTTCTCCTTTTCCCTACTTTCATCTTCTTTCTCCTACTTTTATCTTCTTTCTCCTACTTTCATCTTATTCTCAAGAAAAGTGAGAGTAATGGTTTAATTCCCTCCTAAGCTATGAATTATTTTCTCATCACCCATTAAAGAGCTACAACAGCAAAAAACTCTCAAAAAAAAAAGCCCAAAAAACCAAAAAGAAAACAAAAAAAAAAACCTCCAAGCCCCCACACAACCCTCCCAACCAACCAAAAAAAACAACAAAAAAAAAACAAAAAAAAAAACCTCCAAGCCCCCACACAACCCTACCAACCAACCAAAAAAAACAACAAAAAAAAAACCAAGAAAAAAACCCCAAATCATTGAGTAACTCTTTTCTAGTTTTCTTTTTAATCAGGCATACAGGCAGGCTAAAGGACGAATGCTTGTTAGGTAATTTGGGTGGATATCCAGTGGATAATAACCTCTTGGTGCTGGATTCTTAAATCTAGCAAGAGAGAGGACTCCCTGACCATGCCCTGGAAATTTCTGAACTTACCCATATTTCACAGTTGGATTTTTCTGTTTACTGATTATTTTTGTTGTTTTCACTTATATTGCTACAGTCTCTAAAACCATTTTAAAAAACTACAATCAATATATGAAGGCTCCTGTGGTAACTGACATACATTCATGCAACTGAGAGCTAGGGGCTACGGACTTTAAAAGAATTCTGCCAAGGAGCTATTCAATGGGCTATGTCACAGCCAGAACTTCCTCTCTAGCAGAAATAAAATACCTGAAGGCTCTTTGTTAAATTACTCTTCCATGTAAAATCATATATCTTTACTATTTAGATAATAATGCTCTTTTCTTTTGGTCAAAACTTGAAAATCTAAGATTTAAGAGAAAAAAAAGTTATAATCTTGTGAAAATTTAGGCATGAGGAACAAGGAATTAGGCTAATGTAGTTTGCATGGTTGTGATTACCAATGATGGGTCATTACAACTTAATGTTTTGGTCTGCCACATGCATCCCAGCATTTATTAAAGTGCCCCTGTGAACACAATCACAGTCTAAAACAGCACAGATGGCAAAAGTATTTCCATACATGTTTTGAAGTGGTCTTCTAAAGGAAGCAAATACTCTTCAGAAACAGAAAAAAAAAGTGATTGAAATATGGTTTAAATTTCAACCTCTTTTAATATTAAAATTATGGAAGTTTGATTAAATAGAAATTTAAACTGAGTGAACAGCTCACTGAAGAACAGCTCTGTAGTCTGCAGCTGATTTTCCACAGCAGCATGCTGTTCCACAGTCCTTCAGCTCCCTCTGCTGCTTAATTGATTCACAAATTTTTCATATTTGCATGGAGTTTTCACTTGGTTTTTCTAATCTCTGTCTTGATGAGAAAAAAGGATGCAGATTAAAATTGCACCTGAAGCAATGAAATGATTGCTCGAATTGATAAACAGTGTGTGCAAAGTTCCATGTAATTATTGTCCCTCCTTTTCTCAGGGAATGAGAAGAAGCCTGTCAGATTGTCCTGATTGCTTTCTGGTGACTTGCTGTGCATATATTCTGCCATTATAATTTGACTTGCTATAACTGAAAAGTATCTGTTGCTTAAACTGACTTTTTCTGGATATGCAATTTTATTTCATTGACATTATTACATAGAATCAAAGAATCATTTAGGCTGGAAAGATCACTGAGTCCAGCTGTTAACCTAACAATGCCAAGTTCGCCACTAAAACTACACCTAGGTATCTTATAAATACTTTTAGGGATCATGACTCAGCCATTGCCCTGGGCAGCCTGGTCCAATGCTTGACAACCCTTTCCATGAAGTAGTATCTACTAACACCCAATCTAAACCTCTCCTGGCACAACTTGAGGTTGTTTTCTCTTGTCCTGTCACTTGTTATTTGGGAAGAGACCAAGCCCCACTTGGCTACAACCTGCTTTCAGGCAGTTGTAGGGAGAGATAAAGTCTCCCCCAGGCCCCCTTTTCTTCAAGGTAAAGAACTCCAATTTTTTCAATTGCTTTTTTATATGACCTGTGCTCTAGGTGCTTCCTATTTCCCTTTCCTAAACATGCTCCAATGGGTTCAGAACTGACCACAGGATTCAAGGTGTGGCCTCACCGGTGCCGAGTACAGGGGGATGATCACTGCCCTGGTCCTGCTGGCCTCACTGTTTCTGATACAGGCCAGGTGCCACTGGCCTTGGCCACCTGGGCACACACTGCCTCATGTTCAGACAACTGTCAGCCAACAGCCCAGGTGCACCTTTCCAAACACTCTCCCCCCTGCCTGTAGTGCTGCACAGGGCTGTTTTGACCCACGAGCGGGACCTGGCTCTTCCTTGCCCTAGTGAACCTCATACCATTGACCTTGACCCATCAATCCAGCCTTACCAGAATCCTCTGCTTCCTACCCTCCAGCAGATCTATACTCCCACCCAGCTTGGTGTCACCTGCAAACTTGATGAGGGTGCACTTGATCCCCTCATCCAGATCATCAATAAAGATATTACACAGGACTGGCCCCAATACTGAACCTGGGGGAACGTCATGAATGACCCAAAGCCAGCTGGATGTAGCACCATTCACAACCACTCTCTGGGCCCAGCCACCCCACCAGTTTTTAACCCACAGAACAGTGCCCCTATCCAAGCCAGGAGCAGCCAGCTTCTCCAGGAGAATGTTGTGAGAGAAAGTGTAAAAGGTTTTACCAGTCCATGTAGACTACATCCACTAGGTGACTTTGTCACAGAAGATCAGATTGGTCACCTGCCTTTCATAAACCATGCTGGCTGGGCCTGATTCCTTGGTTGTCCTGTATGTGCCACATGATGGCACTCAAAATGACATTCCCCACCCCAAGGGCCAGGCTGACAGACCTCTAGTTCTCTGAATCCTTTTGACCCCGCTTGTAACTGGGCATCACATTTTCTAACCTCCAACTGATCACTGATCTGTGACCTTCCCATTAGACCATGATTGCTAATAAATGATGGAAGATAGTTCAGTGAGCACTTCTGCCTGCTCCCTCAGTATCCATGCTTGGATCCCATACAGCCCCAAAGGCTTGTGTGTGTCTAAGTGGTGTAGCAGGTCACTGCCCATTTCCCCTTGGATTACAAGGGCTTCATTCTGCTCCCTGCCCCTGTCTCCCAGCTCAGGGGGCTGGGTTCTCAGAGAACTTGGTCTTACTAATAAAGACTGAGGCAAAAAAGGCATTGAGTACCTCAGCCTTTTCATTATTCTTACTGTGTTTCCCCTCCTATCCAAAAAAGGATCCAGAGTCTCCTTAGCCCTCCTTTTGTCACAAAGGTATTTACTGAAACACCTTTATTGCCTTTTACACAGTAGCCAGATTAAGTTCTACTTGGGCTTTGGTCCTAATTTTCTCATGCAAAGCCTCATGACATCCTTGTAGTCCTCCTGAGCTGCCTGGCCCTTCTTCCAATTCTCCTTTTTCCCCTGAGTTCCAGCCAAAGCTCTCTGTTCAGTCAAGCTGGCTGCTCCAGCCCCTTGACAATTTCCTTCCTTAAGAATGTCCAGCCTTCCTGGACTCCTTCGGCCTTCAGGACTGCCTCCCAAGGTACGCTGTCAACTAAGCTCCTAAACAAGACAAAGTCTGCCCTCTGAAAGTCCAAGGTACCAGTTCTGCTGAGTCCCCTCCTTACTTCTCTAAGAATTACAAATCAAATATTTTGTGATTACAGTGGCAAATAATGTCTCCAACTGTTTCACAGTGATATACATATATATGTTAATAATTATGTCTTTATATAGCTCAATGTCCTCTTTATTAGCAATATTTCTTGCAGATTTCTCTGGAACACTTTCTTTCCAAGACTTTCATCATGTTCACCTATCAAAAATGTTAAAGTGAAAAAAGAAAGCAGCTTGTATGCTTGCATTTTCTAGTTTTTATTGCTGTATTTTTCATTTCTAAGTAGACTTGATAAAGCTTATCCCAGATAGAAGACAAATGGATATATTCAAACTAGGTATTGGCCAAAATACAATATAAATGCAAACACACACATTCATTAAAGCAGGCTTTGGTTAATTAGGTATAATGAAGGGATTATCCACCAGAATGTATGTCAGAAGTATAAAAAACCCAGCATCATACATCATACTGACTAAAATGGTGACTTGAAGAGCAGTAAAGGTTAAGGGAATATTAACACATGCTGTTATGCTGATTTCAAGGCATCTCTGAGGCTCAGGGGATTTTGGAAACTGCAGGTGTATAGACTACATGGAATATGGGAAGCCTACAATTCAATGTGTAATTTTCTCCACAGGTATCTGGGTGATTGTACCCATTTTTTTGTCTTCAGATATTCAGCTATGAGATTATGTCAGTCACTGATGAATTACGCCAGGAAAATAAGATTACGAAATCTCCATTCGCAATTTTGTAAAACTACTGAAAGCACGGGTTTGAAAAATCATACTCAAGACCTTACTTCCTCCAGTACAACTGGGATGACTTTATGAGGGATCTACATTAATGCTTAGCCCCCTAGAAGTAATGGTTCCTGTAGGTATGAATTATGCTACACCAGGAAATAAATACAACTCAGAGACACTCCAACACAAACTCAGGCAACTCAGGCTTGATGAGCAATCAGGAACTTTGTGTGTGCTCTGGGTTGTCCTTTGTGAGGACAGTGCTTAGGTTTGAATCTTCTCATAGTGTTTGCTGCTGATCAGGAAAAGGCAACACACTGTTGTCATCTTCAGGCACCTTGTTCCTGAGTGACACCTTAGAAGTGACACCTTAGAAGCAGGACCACTGGTATGGAGACTAATCACATGACCAAATACCTCCCAGGAGGAAATTACAGCGTGATGGTCAGATCCAAAACGTTGTAGGCACATGAAATAAATAGGTGAATGGCGGGAGCCCAAGTCTGCAGTCACACAAGGGCCCTGCCAAAGGCTGCCAAATTCTGGAGATACTTGGGAGTACCTCCCCCTTTCAGCTGTAGCATGACAGGCACTTGAAATTGGTGCATGTGCGGACATTTCCCTACCTGAGCAGTTCAGGGCCCCACTCCAGCTCCAGTCTCAACCGAGTCTGCTGCCCCACCACAGCCAAATCTCAGCTATGCAATGCCTGAAAAACCTTCATACATTGACTGTCCTGTTGTCACAAAACATATTGGGACACAGAACAGGAGAAGGCAACACTGATCATCATAACCAGTCCTCCACTACCAGAGACAATCAGGACATGAGCAGCAATTCAGGGCATAAAGGACTCAAGTCACAAAAGCCTTCCTACCACTGGAAATGTTAGACCACCCAAGAATTTCAGGAGGTGCTCAAAAGAAAATTATTAAATTTAGTTATTAAATTTTGGGTTTATCCATAGTTATTAAATCCAATACATAGAGCTGTAGTTCAGGTGCTCATCTTTTAAAATAGAGTGATGAAGATTACCAAGTTCATGACTGTGTATCTAAGATAGGGAAAGTGTAAAGATTATATGAAAAGATTTATTCAGTAACAACAAAATTTTCAGAAACCAAGTCCGAGTCAGTCAGAGTGAAAAAATTAAAAGCACATTGAACTGTATTTGACAAGTCATTTGACATAGTAAATTATCCTTCTGGAACAACAGGTTAGGAAACAGTTTTTAGTCTTGTTCATTTACTCCATTTACTTCCATGGAAGTTGGCTCATGAAAAATAAAAAATTAATCAGTAAGTTTGATAGCTTTGCCCTTTCCATCAGTACTGTGGGCATAGACTATAACTCCAGGTGTCACCGAACAATCAGGTATTAATGTAATTTCTCATGTGGCTTTCCCCCCCACCTTACAAATTAGCAGTATAGCGATCTCTGTTCTGAAAGTCTCTGTAAGCACGTTTTGCATCTGCTTTGCTGTGTGGGATTCTTCCAAAAGGTTCCAGATCATTGAAGCAGGCATCAAAAACTTCATCCACAGCTTTTTCTGCTGTTTCTTTGCTAACTTTTCTAACAGCCAGAATGGAACGGATTGCTCTGTCTCGCACACAAGTCTAAAGTGAAAAAAAAAAAAATAAAAATGTCATTATTAGCAAAGTTTTTTTCCAGATTTTCCAAATATTAACTCCTATTGTATAGGCAAAAATATTGTATGAAAGAGTCAAACAGTGCCTGTAATAAGCATTAAAGTACATTTTAGTTCCATCCTGTGTGAACTACGTGCTTTAGTTTTCCATGTATACATAAACCATGAAATAATTAAAAGACAGGAGCAGGAATTAAAATACAATTTGGCATTTGTTGTAGGTATGAAGTATTTGTAAAACTTTTGTTTGTAAATTTGTAAAACTTGACCTGGACGCAAAAAAAAAAAAAAAAAAAAAATCAGAAAGAAAGACACAAATACCAGTTAGGTTCTTTACAAACTGAAATGTTGTAAAACTAAGGGATGACTTCTCTACTGGCCTTCATTCTGACACCTCTCTTTATGGTAACCTTTTCTTACAGTTTGTTTACCAAAAGACCAAAAAATATGTAAACATAATTAACAAGCTAACTGCCACTCTAACATGAGCAAATACTTAGGGCTCAATCTGTAGACTTCATACTATTTACAAAAATTAATTCCTACAAGACTTAACACACATGGTAACTTAGAAATCTTCTCATTTTGCTGCCTTCAGTTTTCAAAGACTTTTTCTAAGAATGTCACCCACTTATAGTGGATAAGGTATTTCCACTACATTTCCTGCAAGTCCTGCTTTTTGTTTGATTAGCCATCCATTGTCAGTGGTAATGCCTTAAAACATGACTAAATATTCAGGGATTTCAATGCAAATAACAAAGTGGGGAAAAAAAAAAACTAACATTGATCATTAAGGGTTAGTCAAGAGGAAATCGATGATCAAGGGTTAGTTAAGAGGAAACACCAAGTCCATGGCATCTATTTCTTTTTTTTAAAGTTTTCAGCTATGAAAGTGTAGAAGGCTGAGACCAAGTAGGTAAAGATGACTCATAACAAATTATTATATTTTAGCATCCACAGTCTTTACCTGATGGTGTCCTTTCAATCCAAACTTAAACCTGGCTATTTCATTCATCAGTGTACAGTCTCCACTGAGATTAGCAGCTCGAATCTATTGAGAAAAATAAAAAGTCACAAGATCAGAGAAACACATGAAAATACGAAGTCAAAAAAGTTGTAACAAATGCTTTTCTTCAGTATATTTCTGGTGACTGCTGGTAGAGGATATTCCCGAGGCCACTTTAACTTAAGTACCTGTTAACACCATATCCTTTACATCCATCTCAGCCTCAGTGAACTACAGCAAGTAGTCCTTCCAACTCCTTCAAGTTCCTCCAGGAACTACATCTCACATATCCCTAAAGTTTAAATAAATGAGCAGTAGAGCTTATATGTGTGAGTGTATTTATATATGAACTGCTAAAAGAACGTGAAAAGTAATATTCTCCCCAGTCTATATCAGAATCTGTTACAAGAATCAGGAAGAAAGGCAGATACCTTTCAAAGACTACAGCTGCAATACCCAGAAGAGCAGTAACCCATATGTTTTGCAAAAAGCTACATTTAAATGTATGCTTTAGCTTAACTGTCTTGTCCTGTACACTAGAATTTCTTTTGTCTGCTAAATATTCTATACCCAATACAGTATGTTAGGAAATGTAAATAAATCTTGATTTCCTGTAATTAAGTACCAGAGTAAAAATAAATGCATGGAAAAAATAAAAAGTAAGAATTAAAAAGCTGCTAACAAAAAATGTAGATACCATATAATTAAGTAATCAAAATACCCAAAATGAAAAAATAATCCTGAAAAGAGCAAGAACATGCACAATCTTGATTTATATAAAACTTATGTTTGAGGTTTACATGCTTTATTCTGCACTGTGTAAAAGCTTGGACAATAAAATAAAGTAGATGACAGTTAATAATTCAGAATTATTGTATTGAGTTTACACGGCAAAATGTTGGCAGTGAGGGGCCTGCCAGGGTGGCTTCTGTGAGACTGGAGAAGTGGCTGTCCGTGTGTCAGAGACTGTTTTAACCGGTTTTAAAAGGGACCCACCATTAGTGGTGCTGGTTTGCTTGGTGCTGGTTGTATCTCTGTGATGACACATGTAAGAAAGGATAAAGAAAACTACAGAGCAGCTGTGAGACAGAGGAGTGATGAAAATGTGAGGAAAACAGCCCCACAGACACCAAGACAGTGAGGAACGACAGTGAGGAGGTGCTGCAGGCATCAAAGGAGATTCCCTGGCTACCTGTGTAGAAGACCATGGAGACAGAGGTTGTCTCCCTGCAATCTGTGAAGTAACACAGCAGAGCACATATCCACACTGCAGTCCAAGGAAGACATCATGACATAAGAGACAAGCATGCTCTGAAAAAAGCAGCCCATAGAGAGCCCATGCAGGAGTAGATTTTCTGTCAGGAAATGTGGGCCTTGGGGGACCGATGCTGGAGCACTCCATTCCTGAAAGGTTGTATGCTGTAGAAAGAACTCAAGTTGGAGCAGGTCTTGAAGAATACCAGCTCAAGGGAAAGATTCATGTTGAAGTAGCTCACAAAGGACTGTATCCTGTGAGAAGGACATCCCAGGACCAGGGAAAGAGTGCAAGGATGAAGGAGCAGCAAAGACAAAGCATTATGAACTGACCACAGCTCACATCCCCTAGCTCGCTGTGCAACATGGCAGGGAAGGAGATAGAAGAATCAGAAATGATGGAGTGAAGCTTAGCCTGGGATAAGGTTTTCTGTGACCAAATGGTAAGGATTACATCAGAAATCAAATAAAAACATGTAGACTTCACAGATACATCACCTGTGTCACACACACAAGAGGATGTGCTCCATTTAATTTCATCTCCTAAAGCACCAAGTATTAAGGCCTTTAATTCTCAAATGTCCTCTGAGACCACAGAATCATAGAACAGTTTGGGTTCTAAAGGACCTTAAAGATAATTCTAGTTCTAATCTCCCTGCCATAGGCAGGAACACCTTCTACTAGACCAGGTTGCTCAGAACCCCATTGAATGGAGATGGATCCATATCTACAGTGTACCAGCAGCAATAAATACCACAATTACTCAAAAAATGAATGTTACAGAAAAAGACAAGTTTGTTGTTAATAAAAAAAATAAATAAATAAAAACAAGGTTATTGTGATAACTACCAAACATACCAAGACTTGCATGGGATAAAAAGAATTCTATAAGCATTTGATTAATGTGTCAATGTGTTTTCACTTCTAACTACTCTCTTATTTATCAATAAACACTTATGACATTAACTTATTAATAACTGTGAAAATTAAGTATTTGTTTTACAAATAAACCTCTTTAGGCTGACCTGACAGAAAGGACAAAATGTACTAACAGGCTTAAAACAAATGAATTACATGTAACAGACCATATAGCACAAAGCAACCCTAATAACCAGCAATAATAAACAAAATGACAACATTAGCAGCATTTTAACTTACCTCTGAACATGCCAAGTGTTTGACATTTTTAAACCAGTCAACATGTGCACGGCAGTGATCAAATGCATGAATCAATTCATGTGTGACCACCCGGTTCATATGGGATTGTTGGCGAATGTTGTTCTGACACAGAACAATCTGCAGAAGAAGAGAGATAGGTTCTCACTAAGTTTCCTCCCTTACTTCTCAGAAACACAGCATACACCACTGACAGGATTTAGGGTGTTTGGATTGGTGTTTTCCAACATTAACAGCATTATCATACTGAAGGGTACTAGTTCCAACACCATGGAACATCTTTTATTTATCTTTTTTCATGATTAACTCAGGTATCAGTACTGGCAGATTTAATCCTAGCAATAAAATACTAAAGAAATTTCAGTCCTTTGAAAGGGGACTGTGTCTAGCACCTACCTGTGATGTGGCCGCATCAAAACCTCCACTAACACAGCCATCACAGTTTTCACAAGAAAAGTGTCGGTCATTGAAGACAGTGCTGAAAGGCCCAAACAAAGTTACAGAAAAGAATGTGAAAACCTTCAGTCACTACTTATCACAGTGAAGTCACTACACAGAACAAGACAAATGAGTTTACATACCAACCAGATTGCTTCAAAGCCTCAAGGAGAAGTCGAGCATATGGATCTACAAAAAATTGCTGCAATCAGTTTCTCTAGACAAAAGTTTTGAAAATCATCTATAAAAAAATATAAAGACAGTCAAGGAAAAAAAAACAAACAAGAAAAGTTCTATACATGCTAATTCATACATTGCAGAATTTAATCCTATTGCAATGCAACTGACATCTGTTACAGATCACGTTATGTGATATAGAATCATAGAATGGTTTGAACTGGAAGGGACCTTAGAGATAACCTAGTCTCAATCGCCCTGCCTTGGGCAATGACGTGTCACTCAACCAGGTTCCTCAGAGCCCCATCTAACTGGGCCTTGGAAAATTCCCAGAGATGGTGCAACCACAGCTTTTGTGGGCAACTGTCCCAGTGCCTCATCACCCTCACAAAAAATTTCTTCTGTATATTTAGCCTATTTTGCCCTGTTGCAGTTTGAGCCCATTACTCCTCGTGCTATCACTGCAATTCATGATGAGGAGTCTCTGTCTGGCTTCCATGTAGGCCCTTCAGACACTGAAAGGTTGCTCTGAGGTTTCCATGCACCCTTCTCTTCTCCAGGCTGACCAGCCCCAACTTTCTCAGCCTCTCTTTGTAGGGGAGATGTTCTTTACCAACTTGGTGTCCCTGCTCAGGACTCACTCCAACAATTCCATGTTCTTCTTCTCTTGGGGGCACTACAGGTGGGGTCCCAGGAGAGCAGAATAGAGGGGGAGAATGACCTCCCCTGACCTGCTGGCCACGGTCCTTTTGATGTAACCCAGGATACAGAGTAAAAGCTATTCAGGAATCAAGTCAATCCTGACATTATTTTATTACTAATAAACATAGTCAGAGCGGCCTATAGTGACCATCATTTGCTGTTAACACTCACAATCAACATCAAACAGTGAAAAGGGCGCGAATGCACAGAAATTGACAAATCATCGTAACTTTTCAGGGAAAAGAAAGAAGAAGAGAACCTTATTAAAAGAAGAAAAAAAACCCTCAATCACTTTCGAAATCGTATTCTTAACCAAAATCAGCGCGTTGCTAAAGCGGCAGCCCCACCCGCCACCTGCTCGGGCCCAGGCCGGCCGCCGCGGGGGGGCTGCGGCAGGAGGGCAGGGCCCTCCCCGGGACCCGCGGCACAAGGTCACCGCTGCGGGCGGCCCGGGCTCCGCCTCGGCACCTCCGCTGCGCCGCGGGGGCCGGGGGAGCGCTTACTCGTTTCCAGGGTCAGCCTCAGCATCAGCTGGCACTTGTTGTGGAAGGTGAAGAGGCTGCGGAACAGGAAACTCTGTGGCTTCTTATTCCGGTCTGGGAAAAGTCTGTAGCCGAAATCATCCTCCTCCTCCTCCGCCCCTTTCTTCTCCGCGGCCGGCGGCGAATCAGCCTCACCGTGCCCCATGTCCGGCCGTGCCGTGCCGTGCCGCGCCTGCCGGCAAAGCGGCCGCGCCAATCGCCGGCTCCGCTCCCGGCACGTGGGCGGGAGGGCGGCCGCGCGCAGGCGCCGTGGGCTGCTGCTGCTGCCGCCTGGGCCGCGCTGCACGCTGGGAGCGGGCTGGCAGCGGCGGCGGCGCGGGCGGAGCCGCGGCGCGGCTCAGGTGAGGCCGCGGCGGGACGGGACGGGACGGGACGGGACGGGACGGGTCGGGTCGGGTGGGGTGGGGTGGGGGGGGGGGCGGTGCGGTGCGGTGCGGTGCGGTGCGGTGCGGTGCGGTGCGGTGCGGTGCGGTGCGGTGCGGTGCGGTGCGGTGCGGTGCGGTGCGGTGCGGTGCGGTGCGGTGCGGTGCGGTGCGGTGCGGTGCGGCGACCAGTGACCATCCCTGTGGTCCACGGGCGGCTTGGCTGCTCGGGGTGGCGAGGTGAGGTGGCGAGGTGAGGTGGCGAGGTGAGGCGAGGCGGGCACACACACCCTGAGGGAGTGAAGGCCTCGCTTGCGACTTGCGGGCGGTGCAGAGGCGGGTGTTGAGGCTCAGAGGGGCTGCTCTGCCTCGGGGCCTCCTGCGGCGCGGCCTCGGGACCCGCTCCAGGGCGGGCCTGTGCTGCTGGCCTGGCCGCCGGCGTGGTGCGGCCGCTCCAAGGGAATCGCTGGAACCAGCAGCCCGCGGGTGTTGGAAGGACTCAGCATTGAGATTCGTATAAAAGTGCCCTGAAGGGTGTAAGAGCTGTGCTGCAGAGACTGCTGTCAGTGCGTGGGTTAAGGTCGTTGCTAAGTTGTGTGCGGCTAGTGGATAAGGGAGTAGTTTGACTTTTTGGACTCGAGCAGGGTGCTTCAGAGTGGCAGAGAACAAACAGCCAGATTTCGTGTTAGATTTTTGCATGCGTGAGAATGCTGTTTTAGTCAGAGATAGGAAAAAGAAAAGTTCAGCAGATTACAAGCTATTTTTTTATATTTTTATATTTTAGGTATCTTGTTTTAGCTACCTAGAAATGCTAGGCTGTATGGAATATTTGATGTGTCCATGCACAAGTTGCACGAAATTAGCAGACTGAATATTACTGTGGTAGTTCGGCGTTGGACAGCAGTTGAAGGTGGAAAAAAGCATAGTAAGCTCCTTAATTGAAAATGTGATGAAACCTATGTATTTTTGGCTTCAATGAAAGGTTCTTTCTGTTTTGTTTCAACTAGAAATAATATGTTGCTCAGGATAATCAGGTCACCAGCTGTGTATCAACTAGGGATAAACACAACTGCTGCAGCAGGGCATCTACTCAGCTGCTTACTCCTGGGCATGTAAAAACATTTCTGCTTGGGTAGCATTAGTTCAGTAGTAATCATGCAGTGTTTTTCCATCTCTTTGAGACCCTTGTCTGTAATTAGGGATGGCACATCGTACCACAGAAATCATTAGATTTGTTTGGCTCATAAATCTTTATATTATTGTGCTACTAAGTTATTGCACAGGTGTGAAAAATAATTTTAAATAAAACATGTTAAATAGCCTAAACTTTTTTATTCCTGAAAAACTTTGTGTAGTATCACTACAAATAGCTTATTTAATACTTCCATGAGGCTTGTAACAGATCCTGAAGCTTGTCATCAAGAGGTTAGAGTTAGCAATCATTCATAACTCTCTTTGTCTAAGTTTGTATTTAGCTTATCACAAGTTACTTAATCATGATTGTTTTCAAAACATGTTTGCTTCATGCTTTCAGATTTTTGTGCTATGAACTTGACAAACATGGGAGTTTTTTTTCTGAATTGTAACCAAGATTTTTTTAAGGTTACTTTTTAATTGACTTGTTATTTTTTATGAAAATAAAACTTCTTTCACTTAAGACAATAAAATTGAGACAACAAAATTTATGAAGACAGTCAAGTGTTGATAATTATTAAACAGTGTTTTAGGGACTTGCTTGCACTTTCAGGATTACCATTTTCTTGTTGGGTGCTTTACCTTCCATTTAGTTAGGAAAACATGAATTGCTGTTTTTCATTTTATTTACTTTGTTTTATCGGCGTTACATGGCTCCCCTTCTTTTTTTCAAAGACACTTAAACTGTGTTTCTCCTTAGTCTCTTAGTGTTTAGTATTTCTGCAATGCTATTAGGAAGTCTGATTGGCATGTAAGTCAGACTTTTTATTTATGAAGTAGCTAGTTTCCTTCAACTTCTTTTTTTCTTGAATTTTGGCAGATCACGATGAGCACACCAAGTAAAGCGATAGAACTGCAGCTGCAAGTGAAGCAAAATGCTGAAGAGCTGCAGGATTTTATGAGAGAATTGGAGAGCTGGGAAAAAGATATTAAAGAAGTGGATTCTGAACTCAGGAAACAGAGTGGGGTCCCAGAAGAGGTAAAAAACACAAGACCAGTGTCAACTCAGCTATTCATACTGTGATAATGTTTATTATAATTATGTTTTGCTTTAGCAAAATTACATTTATTGACTTAAAACATCTGAATAGAAGGTATGAACTAACCCATGACATATTCTTCATCTGAAGTTAATCAGAGATTTCTCTGAAAGCTGGACCACCAACAAAGTTGTGGGGCAGTAGCCTCTGAAGGTGATGAGGCCAGTAAATTTTTTATCCGTTCTGAGTAGATCTATGAGACTATTTCTGTTCGCAGCATCAGTATTGCTAATTTATGACTGACATTTAGTATATTGAAGTTATTCGTCAGTGCTACTCTGAAAAGAGTTGTCTTCTAAAACTCAGTTTCATAACAGACATGTAATATTTGCTATTATGTATTGAAAGATTTATGCTTGTTGTTGTTAGTGGTTTTGTAGAGTTCATGAGAGCAGCTTGCTGATAGATGGATACACTGTCTAGATATAGGTACTGTAGATTCCTCAGTGCAAGTGATTTTCACACATCTGTTTTATAATAAGTTACTTAATTCAATTTAGAATTTGCCACCAATTCGAAACAAGGCTTTTAAGAAAAAGAAGAAAAGCAAAAATAAAGTCTGTTCAAAGATAACCTGTGAGGAAAACAAGAAAAACAAGATCAAGTCATACGACTATGAAGCATGGGGAAAACTTGATGTGGTGAGTCTTAAGATTTGTTTTGTTGTCTGAGTCTTGTCTGCAGTTGGTTCTGTGTTAAATAAGATATTGTTACAGTGCTGAGAATTCAGTCCACTTGTCAGTATCTTACTGTGCTGCATACTGTATAGGATAGATATTTCCCAAAAATGTTACATGTTTAATATTTGCAATATTGATAAATACTTAGTTTCCTATTGACTGCTTTTATCCAGCAGATTGAATTTAAGGGGAAAATACCTGTTTTAACAATAGGCCTATTTAAAGGTCATAATTATAGTAGAATATAGGACTAAGCACAACTGTCAGTATTGGAGGACACATTAATAATTCTCCTAAAATCTTGCTTGTATTGTTTTGCACTGTTAAATTATAATGAAGACAATGGTTTGTTTTTTTTCTGATTCCAGGATAAAATACTTGAAGAACTTGATAAAGAAGATAGTACTCATGATTCTGTATCTCCAGAATCAGACTCTGAAGAAGATGGAATTCGTGTAGATGCTGAAAAGGCTCTTGCAGAGAAGGAAAAGGTTATAGAATTATAGATGTTTATTATAAAGTAGCAATTTCCGTATAGGAGTATTCGCAATTTTCTTCTGAAAGATCATCCACTGAGGCTATACATCCGGTAAAAGAATTGCCTGTTTGGAAGTCCTTCTGTTTTTTTCCCTGCCCATTATTCCAAAGCAGAAAATTCCCACTGGAGTTCTATTCCTTCTCATTGTCAGTGGCAGCAAGCCTGGCAGATTCTAATTAATACATACTTGTGATGACAAATTTATTGATGATGTTTTGCTTTGAGAAGTTGAATGGCTGTACGGTGTTGCTGTAGAGAGTGAACTGGTTTTTACCTGAACGCAACATCTGAATGCCCCAAACTAAATTTGCAAGAATTGAAAAATACTCCTTTGTGATGCCAGTTCATCTGGGAACAATGGGTGAACTTCTTTGCTTCAATAATGGCAAGTTCATACCGGTTCAGTTTTACCTAATAAGGTAGTATGATATAGAAAGAGATCTATCTCAGGCTTTGTTGCCATGAGAAAGAGGCTAGGTTGTGTAGCAGCTTCTGTGTTTTTGATAAACTTCTTTGTTTGTAAGCAATCATGTAACCCATCTATCAGTCAATATTGACTTCAGTAGTTTTAGCTTTGGTTTGAGTTCTTGTGGGGTTGTTTGTTTTAAATTGTCTGCATGGGTGATATTTGTGTTGTATTCCCGCTACTGTGGGAATTCCTTGACATGTAATCTGCAGTCTACACTGAGAAGTTGATGTGTCTTTGGCCATTATTATCCTGGCTTCAGTGAGGTCATTGAGGGTAAAAGAATGAGATAAAAGTTGTGTCCCAGAGGAGACAGAAATGGGAAGGTTGGCTTGGAAAGCAAAGATGCTAAATCTAGTAATTAAAAACTTAACCCCATTCAGTAATTTGAGTAGCTCTGTATGTGCTTATTACAGATTTCTGGAAATGACCTGGAGATACTGAAAATTATTTTATAGACCCATGTTATAGAATATATAATGAAAATTATTTTATATGGTGCACTTAGGATATATCTGTTAGAAAACATATTTCATGGTAAAGCAGTACTTTGTGAGAAATGTTGAAGAAAAATATTTAAACATTTTTAAAGTACTTCGATTTTTTAGGGTTTTTAATTAGCAAGGTGTCTGCCAATGTACAATAACTTACTGAAAATGCTTTTTTCTATTCACAGGGTAATAACTACTTTAAACAAGGAAACTTTGATGAAGCAATAAAATGCTATACTAGAGGGATGCATTCTGATCCATACAATCCAGTATTGCCCACAAACAGAGCATCAGCTTTTTATAGAATGAAAAAGTAAGACTTGTATTGTTAAATCTGTAATATTTTCGTACTTGAAATGCTACCTTCAGATTTTTGGTCTAGTTTTAATTCT